TATATATATATATATATATAAATATATGCACATATACACACACACGATACATATGTGCGTGTATATAAATATATAAGACTGCAATTATAATGATTATATTATAGTAATGTGAAAAGAAAACAATTACATTTATAAATTTTTATGAAGTCTTCAGATATGTCGTATTTGTTGTGTTGACTTCATTCTGACTTCAAAACATTTTACTATACTATTTTAATATTACCATGCAACTGTCAATGTCACTGCAGAAAGATCTTAATTTTTAACTATGCCTTTTTTTTGTATAGAACTTATAATTCATCAAATTTAATTTATTAGGTTTTTCTTTTTAATTTGGGGTGAAAGTGACCGTCTATGTTCATTATGTCAAAATATTCACCATGATCATATAAGTTACACACGCACAGGTGAGGAGGCTCAAGTGATCCACATGCCTCCACAGTGTCCTGCTAGTTTCAACAAGTTATAAAGGCTACAAGGTTCGCTTTACCTGTTTTGGTACAGTCCTTGCCGTGTGAAAATGACAGAAATGACACTATAATTATGATGTATGAAGGGCGATGTTGATTTGATGTAAATCCAGAATGATGAATAGCTTAGCTTAGCCTAGCATGCTAATCAAAACAAAAAAACACAACTATCAATATATAACACTGCTGACACTAACCTTATAATAAAAGCAAGCCAGCTGCTAAATTGCAGCTCAAATCGTTTTGTGATCCTTTCCTAGGCTGTTTATGAAGTTGGCGAGCGATAAAAAAAAAAATTTAATTAACAACATGCTACACAATTCTATTAGCTGTTACGTGCTAGCACTTCGTGCGAGCTTTGCTGTTCTCGATGCAAAATCCATCCTTTAAAATTAATTTACTCTTTGTCTTTCGTCCTCGTTCTCGAGGCAACACGCGAAACGTGCCTAAAAAAATGTCTTTTTTTTAAAAAAAATAACTGACAGCGCTCAGAATCTCTCTGTACAAACTTCCGCGGGTGATGATGGAACTGGCCTGCCAATAGCATTGTGCATGTAGATGATTGACGTGAGGAGCAGCCTATCGCAGCCCCGTCCGCCCACGAGAGGGGCGGATATGGGATGATATTAGACTCTAAATGATTAATAGATGCACGCACAATTATCCATGTACTGCATACATTTTATACATGTATCTTACTAACCACAAACAAATGTCTTTCAATTTGAGTCTGTGTAATTCGGGATTAAATGATTGTGCAGCGATTTGTACAAATACAGATATGTTTGTGAATAAAAATGTTTTGTTCTGCATTAATATATCATAAATTGCTCATGCAGAGACTATATATAATATTGCAAAACGCTAGCTTAGCGGCTAAAACTATCATGCTATCTGGCTTTGTTTTACACCCAGCGTTAACAAACAGCTGACGATGAAGTGGTGTGACCGTCACCAAATAGCTTTTGCGATTTCTAGAATTAAATGAATTACCTGTTTATGTTTACAATACGTATAGTGTGATTTTTCTTTACAGAAAACACAAACGTCGGTCACCAAGTGGAAAAGGCCGCTAGTTTACATACACGCCTCTTCTTCTTCTTCCGTTTTTTTTGGCGCGTTACATCCTGTGTGCATATCGCCACCTACTTTTGCTGTTATGCAGTCATGGTTTATTTATTATCAATTTCTTCCTTGTTTTTCCTTTTCCAGTTCTTACACACGTATATACACAAATATTCCTACTTAAATAATTATTCGATGCTCCATCCCATTCCTTCTCCCCAGGCTCCACCTGGCGCTGCGTGGGATGTCTGTTTCATCCACTTATTTGAAATGTGAAACTTGTGTAACACCACACAGACATCATTGTTAGAAATACAGTTCATTTAGTGATTTCATGATTTAAAATTACCATTAAATATCAGCACAAGTCTCATTTCTGTTCACGTTTTATTTCAAGTTTCCATATTTCCCAGACTCGCTTAACGTAACAGAGGCTGCCTCTTTTTTATTTACTGAAAATAGTATTTTTCTTCTAATGTTTGTATCATTATATGTAGCAATAAATGGTGCATAATTTAGAGGTGAATATTGTTTAGTGCAAAAAAGACTCTATGTAATGTAACGTCCAAATCTATCTACAATATAATGCTGGATTCCAATCACTGCACCCAAACCCGGAAGATACTCTGAGTTTAAGTTAACCAATATACAGTAGCCTTCAACAGTTAGCTCTGGTCCTCAAATCTGTTTGGACAAGAGGTATATTCACAAGAGTGCTGATATAGAACCTGTATCAGCAGCACTGGGACTTTTCACCATTTGAACAAGTGGAAATTCAGAGCCAAATATCTATGACTGTTGTTGGCAATAATAAATCAAGAGTTCTTTTGGAATGTCTTATAGTACCTGAAATCAGATTTAATTAATTAAGTTACATTATTTTAATGAATCCACTCAATGCTGTTAATAAGATTAACTTTATCTTTGTCAAATCAAAATAATGTCATGAAGTAGTATTTATTAGCATCTTGTTTTTTTATCCAGTGAACACCACATTTTGTCCATATTTTAGTTAATGTTTGCTATTTGCACTTACTCCTTTTAAATGCATGACCTTTAAGCAGCTCATTTGATTAATTCTAACTCAATTCTTAATTGCTTGATTAATATTGCTTATAATCTGCTGGCAAGATTCTGAGTAGATATATTGTTATTATTTTATATTTATTTAGTTTTTATTATTTTCTTATTTTTTTACAGTGTAGAATTATAATTTTTATCCAGTTAAATGTTACATTTTGTTGCAGTTACAGTTGTATAACGAACTACATCTCAATACAATATTAATATAATTAGAACTGACTTACAGAAGAGCACATGACTTTATCTCTGTCCACCAGGATATAATGTAGAGTCACCTTTATGTTCCCATAAAACTGAAAGAACGAATGAAATGGAAGTTTATAGGTTCTTATAAGATGACAGTATTAGTCATCTTTTTACAACATACCCACACAACTAAGCGGGGTACAATAAATGTCGCAATAACAAAACATTAGTCAGATTTTGTCATCAGTAGCAAGGAACTGAATGGGAAAAAAACCAAAACCAAAAACCTCCAAAAAGAGGAATTTCATGTCTTAGCTATCTAGTCATTTAAACATTTGACAAAACACATGTAGTTTTTATTTGACCTAAATTGCATAAAGAAATACAGTCATTGAAACACTACAAGATTAAATGTGATGTAGCCACCCCCAATAGGTCAAACTTAATAACTAATAGTTAATTATTTAGATTTAGTTAATCAATCATTGCTATAAACAGAAAAATATTCCATTGTAGATTGTAAGCATGTATGGTTTTGTATTTGGACTCTAACAGAAACAGACAGCAGCACAGGCACGAAACAGCCACTGATAATTAACAGAGCTTGTATGTGTAATGTGTATAATACTCTTTACCCAACATGGCATATACACCACTAATATAAAATGTATAACCTGCAACTTTATGCTGATAATAGAGGCTGTGAAGAAATGATTAAGAATGTGTAATTAAGCATGTGTGGAGATGTGTTTTAGTCAAAGAGTTGTAAATGCTCAAAGAACAGTTCAAAGTTCTAAAGCTTTAATGCAAGCCACCAGTTTTCTCTACAGCAAGAAATGTAAACTGTAAAGAACTACTCAAGTGCGTACACACACCAGTAATCAAACACTTTATTCACACTGTCTCCTCAACAATTCCAAAGCAAACAAAATTGATATTTTCACACTAAAATTGTAAAGAACAATAAAGCAGTAGCAAGGACAGTGAAGTCACCTCTTTGCACAGGTCTGAAGTACAGTACATCAGAACCAAGCCAAATCAATGCATCATATATCTTTCTGCTATTAATTTGGACTCTAGTTGTTAAAGCAGAAGCTAAACCAGCATTTTCGATCTGATGATTAGAAGTGCTTTTCAAAGAGCCTCTAGCTTTTATACACTGACCAAAACTTCACAGCACCTTGTATGGCTTGGGTTGATAACCATCAGCTCTCTTCCTCCTGATTCTGCAAATAGTTGTAAGGCTATGATCTATATATCTCAAAAACAGGAGCGTTTAAGCTCATTCATGATCTTGGCTCCTCAAGAACATGGTTATGTTTAGGGGAAATATATGACTCCACTAAAAAACAAAAAAGCTTCAGTGCATTCAAACAAACAGTACTTAAAAGCGGTGAAAGGAAAACATAGTCTGGAATTTTGCCCTGTGGTTTCCAGTGAGGATTTACAGTTATTTATACTGTATGAAATAGATCCCACAGTCTAAGTATCATAAATATTTGCAATATCGAGCAGCCAAAGTGAAAAGAAAACCAACCAAACGGAAACACATTTCCTTTCATGTTGTTTCACTTCAACTGTTAATTGTTATCAACAGTAATGTGCCACAAATGGGTCTCTCCCAGAAAACCTCTTTATCTTCTAGAAGGCATACTTTTCTTCAAATGTATCTTATTAATAACCTTTATGATAGCAATTTGTCATTAATAACATAATTCAGAAACATCACATACAGGCTGTAACAGGCTGAAGAGGTATAACTTCTTTATACGAACACAATATTTCACAACAAATAGCTAATTTGGAATGTAAGGTAGAGCATATTTGTGAGTCCAATTTTTCAAATAATCAATATTAGTGAATTTTTTTTGAAAACCTGGAAATAGAACAAAAATCATTTTTAAACATTTAATTGAGTTGGTGGCGCATAAGCTTAAAAATGTATTTAAGTTTCATCAAACATGGGTTCATACTCCAAGTAAAAGTTGATTTAACCATTCTAAACAAATTAAGCACTTGTACCAAACTACAAGTAAATCAGTCGAGCAGCGTTGATGTCTTTTACTTCCTATAAAGAGAGAAAACATGGGCAGTGTTGCATGTCGATGATATCTTGTCATAAGTATCAAATGATCAAATATATTTGTGAGTTTTGGATTTTTGAAAACTAGTTAGCAAACTTTAACATTTAACAAACACCAAATCAACATTTTAAGGGATAAATAGAGATTAAGTACTATTGGGTAGTAAAAAAAAAAAAAAAAAACAGCAGCACTTCTGAACTAGAAACACGCCTTCTGAACTGAACATCTCTCTTTGGTTTCCAAAACTGTAATAACTGTCCAGCCTCTTCTCATTGGTTGATGTGATTTGGTCACATGGGAAGTAAATGGTCATCCCTTTCCTCTTGCTCTTCCCCAAGAGGTTCAGTAGCCACGCCTCTATATGTGGGCGCTTCTTCTCTGTTGCCACGGGAACGACAGACAAAATTGCATCCGTCCTGTTAGGATAAAAAAAATATTTATTTGGTTCATAAAGAAAAAAAAAAAGACCAAAACAAGATAAACGGAGACAAATGTATATGCAATTATTATACTTACAGCAGATAAGTTGCCGATCTCTGACCAAAAGGCATAGTTAGGGAACTGTTCAACTCCCTTGGCTCCAACTACCAGTCGCTGATAGAGGAATCCACCAGTAAGATACACAGCCAGGCAGCAGAACACACTATGGAGAGCAAACAGGAACATGATTACATGTAAAGTATGACATTAATGTTGCTCCTTAACTGTCTCTAATGGTGTGACAATCCCAGTGAGAATTTCGAAGCACTCACATAATAAGGATTATGGAGCCGGCACTGAGTTTGGATGGGATTACAGGACAGACTGCATTGGAGTCCAGCTCAAACAGGTAATAACAGTCCTGCTCCTTCTGATTGTCCTCCAAAACCACTGAAAATGCATTCTAAGAAAACACACACACACAAAAAATTAATAAGAGCCAAGAAATAATTGTCATTCTTGTTATTGTCAGGGTAAAATCTATCTTGCATACCCGAGATAATGATTTAGTTCCAACATGATAACGCACTAATGCTACTAACTCTGTTTATATGGTATATAATTTTGCATTATTTTTAGCAACTATATATCATATACATGTGGATCAGATGTTGACAGAAATACAACAAATATTTGCAATGTTGGGGAAAGTTACTTTTAAAAGTAATACATTACAATATTGCATTACTCCCCAAAAAAGTAACTAATTGTATACTTAGTTACTTTTTATGGAAAGTAATTTGTAAAAAACCTGTTACACCAAAATTGAAATGAATAAGCCTGTTTTTATTAATTTTGAGAAATACTGGATCTGTTTTTGTGTAAGTGAGATGCATGTTCACATTTAGTCTAGACCTATAGTGCTGAAAATATCATTTTTACACAGCACACAGAGCTGTCAGTCAATAAATGGGAAAACAAAGTAACTGGGCTTTATGCATTTGAAAAAGCAACTCAGATATTTTCTTGTAAATTAAAAAGCAATGTGTTACTTTACTAGTCACTTGAAGAAAGTAATCTGATTACGTAACTCACATTACTTGTAATGCATTACCTCCAACACTGGTTATGAGGATCAATGATATAACGCTTAATTATTTCTTATCAAGATCTAATAATATATTAAAAAGTACATGAAAAATAAATAAATGCATTTTTATTTAATCATTATAGGGGTAGAGAGTAAAAAATGTCAATTGTCATTTCAAAAGCATTAAAAAGTTCATACCTTAGCACTCGTACTGCATGAAATCATAATCATGGCTCTTCTTGGCTCTAGTGAACAGTGGCTGTCGTATTTATCTCCCCCCTCATAGAAGAGCAGAACCCAGTCACCTGCACCAAGAACAAAAGGAGAACTAAGGTCAAAAAACGAGTTAACAAGGCTTCCTGTGACACCAGGAAAAAGTTCTGTAATTTAGTCAAAATTGATGCGTTTTATTTTTATGTGGGTTGTATTTACAATGTTCTCTTGCAATGCATCCCTGCTAACTGCTACTATATAACTAAACTAAACAAAAGCCACAATCCACAGAAGAATCAGCAGACAATGAAAAGAAAAATTCAGTAGTCGTTATTATAAATTAACATTGATAACAACTGTTATAATATTAATTGAAAGAGATACCAAAGACCGAAAGATAAATTCAGAAAAGTCCACCTGTAGCAAAAAGAAGCAAGCAAGGTTACATACTTCCTCTAATAGCTCGTGTTTGGTTGTAGTTGCCAATTCGAACCAGCTTTCCATCTTTTTTTTCTTGCTGCACAAGACCTGCATCCTTCATTCCGCCAGCATCTCCACACACCTGAAAAATATACAAATATCCCTCCCCCGGTCTTTCTGCGGTGAAGCTGTTCAGAGTGAATATGAAGACAGTTAACAAGACCAGCACAACCTGCAAACTGGACGAATGCTAGATTAACTTGAAACAAACCTGTCTTACTTTTGATTGGTGAGAGGCTCCAGTAAATTGAGCGCATTTCGCTCAGAATCGCTCCCTGAAATCAGCTTGCAGTTATTTGTGAGGAACTCAGCTTGCATTCCAGCAAGAAGTACGAAAAGAGGAGTGATTATTCTCAGAGACAGCAACATGACTTTCACAGGTGACACCTGATGGGAAAAGGGCAACACATTAAAAAAAAACGATCAGTGAATTTATCCAATGATTGACTTAGGCATGCACACAAAATGTGGGCAGTGTAACAGTAGCCTGACACAATATATGCATATAATACACATTTCACTATACAGACTCAGTATGCACAGAGTATTTTATGATTAGTGAAGAACCCTAGGACACAATTTAGACAAGCTGTGTCCTAATTCCTGGTTAATTCCAATAACATTTGGTATTTCATAATAACTCGCATTTTTGCTATTAGTTAGTAGTATCAAAAGTTTCATCAGTACGATTTTTAATGTTTTTTTAAAGAAGTTTCTTATGCTAAGGCTGTATCTATTTGATCAAAAATACAGAAAAAAAAAAAAAATTTGTGAAACTTTACTGCAATTTAAAATAGGCTAAGAGTTTTCTGTTTTAATACACTTTAAAATATACTTTATTCCTGTGAAACAAAGCTGAATTTTCAGCATCATTACTCCAGTCTTCCGTGTCACATGATCATTCAGAAATCTTTCTAATATGCTGATTTATAATCAATGTTGGAAACAGTTGTGCTGCTTAATATTTTTGGGACCTGTGATACTTTTTTCATGATTCCTCGATAAACAAAAAGTTAAAAAGATCAGTGTTTATTGAAAATAGAAATTTTGTTACAATATACAGTACTGTTGAAAAGTTTGGGGTCGTTACATTTTTTTCTTTCTTTTTTTAAATAAAATTAATACTTTTTATTTATTTATCATTTTTATTTTGAATACATGCTGTTCTTTTTTAACTTTTTATTTATCAAATAATCAAAGAAAAAAGTATCACAGGTTCCAAAAAATATTAAGTAGCACAACAGTTTCAACACTGGTAATAAATCAGCATATTAGAAAGAAAATTTAACAAATTCTGTATTTTTGATCACATAAATACAGCCTTGATGCGCATAAGAGACTACATTAAATAACATTAAAAATCTTACCGATCCCAAACTTTTGAACGATTACTTCCTGAAACATGTGAAATATTTTTGGTCAAAATTGCTTAGGATTTTAACCAAAGAAAAAAAAAAAGGTGCACTCTGAAACGCCAAATGTGAAAGATCATCGCTGGTTCTTCAAATATAATCTTTTTTTTTTTAAAGACAGATGCTGTTAATTTGAAAATAGAATTTTATCAAACTCGCTGAAAATGCTATTATTGTGCATGTTTACAAATTGTTGCCAAAACTACAAAAGCCTGGTTGTAATGGCAAAACCGGTGTGATGTTTATTTTATATTACTGAAAAAGACAACACAAAAGTTATACTGCATAGATCCAAGTTCAAGTAAGCAATGAAGCAAACGGTAATGAAGAACTTTAGTTAGGAAACCACATAAACATGCTGTTAGCATAAGCGGTCATCTTTAAAATGCATAAAATGAAAGAAATGCACAAAGTGGATCACAAACGCACCTTTCGGAATTCCTATGACCGTGTTTACTGTAGATAAATAAAAGTAAAGGTCTGAATTAGCTGTCTAGTTGTGTCCACCACCCAGCCTGGGGATCTTCTCTTTCCCAAACTGTCGCACTAATGTCGTTAAACAACACTTAATGGCATTACGTCGAAATACCCGGTGGTATCGATAAACACACATTGAATAAACAAACTTCTGACTATATTCGCGTTAAAACGCTTGCATTATTCAAAGGATTTAATGGTTTCTGTTCAAACGCGGAAGTGAACCTAAACGGGCGCCACATGTGACTGTGCAGAAGGCGGAAGCTGAAGTGCTGCACGTGAACATGGGATATTGAGTGCTGCTCAAACAAGTACAGTCTAGTGCTGTAGATCTAGTTCATCTTCAAACAAGATGTGTTTTTCCTGATAAGCCAAAGTCAACTGTCCTGTTCGACGTGGAGTTTATCGTGGAAGTAAACCGCACGTCAAAACGGCAAACGTTAATTAGTTGTTTCACTGCTACCTTTGTCTGAAGGTGTGTACCTTAGCTACTTGCTGACCAAAGATAATTTGAAAACCACCAAGGCAATAATATTTTTTTCCCACAGTTTTATACATATTACTGTATGTATGTAAAGCTAATAATGTCTTTGTGGTGATAACTATAAGATATGTTTGGTAATATATAGATAATTATAACATAAAATTCCCACTTTTTTATTTTAAACATTAGTCTATTTAAATTATTGTTCATTTCTAGATATTTGAGATCAAGAGATTTGACAAAGTTTTGTTTTACTAAAATGATGTTTGACATCCTGAAGTTGATGATCAACAGTTCAGGTTAAGCACCTATTTTCACTGGCAAACTGTTGAAAAAGACAAGACAACAAACCGTTTGTAAGGGGTCTAGGCCCTAATTTGTGCATATTTATTGGAAAATGACAACTGTTTTTCAGTCTCCAGCAGAGTTTGGTTTAAATACTGGTAGTCACATGAAGCGACAATGTTAATTCAGCCAGTTCTTACATCAGCTTTGTATTAATAACAAAATAGGCTAATTTAAGTGCACTAGTTTTTGTAAGATGTGTTTTGATATTATATGCCAATATGTTTTATATATGTTCTCTTGCGGTGAGGTTTTGTGATAGGCTACTAGTTAGCTAACTAACCAAGGCCATGCTGCTAGCACTTCTTTTCTCCTTTTAGGATTTCAGGAAATCCTCTATCTTTGTAATTACATTTGAAATACCTGATTAGTTTACTGCAGTCTTCCTGAATATTGCAGTCTTCCTGTCATACATTAGAACATGCTTGTGGATGATTGATCATTTCTCCTAACCTTTGTCCAGAAGATTTCATTGATTGTGTCAGTGTTGTTTAGATTATTATGTTATACTTGTTTGCGTTCAGATAACAGCACACTCTGTAGTTAAGTTTGTTCAGATGGTTCAATATGAGGACAGGAAACTTGGCTATTTATAACAACAGACACTTTAGAAAATGATCAATTAAACGCAAGCATTTTGGATTACAAAGAAAATGCTTCATATTTAAAAATCTACAACCAGTATTGCTTACTCATCACTTAAAAATATTTTGATTTTAAACTAAAAGTTTATACTAAAATGCACAAAACTAAACTTGGAAAGGCTTTGTACAAAAAGAAAAAAAATGTCTAAAAGAGCAGATTTATAAAGTTTAAAAACATGCATCATTGTTCAGTGTGTTTTCCAGTTTATCTTTCCTAATGTGCAAATGTGTCATCTGTGCTCCACTGTCTTTTACAGCTTTTTCTGAGAACTTTTGTGTTACATAAGCTGCAGACGACATTACTGTGTATGGACACACTCATACATGTTCGCTCCTCCCCCTTTGCTGTCCCTCTTTCTCATGTCTTTACCTGAGAGAACAGTCACACCCAGCATCTTCAACCCCACCAATCACATCACACATGTGAGCACTTCCTGTTTCTGTAAGAGAGAAGCATGCAGTGCCAGTGAGGGTGAGGTGAGTGAAAGGCTGAATTACTGGAACAGGCTGTAGCGCAATCACTGTGACTCTATTGAGTTTATGAGAAGTGAAGAAAAGCTGCGTGCAAGCTTGAAGGTTACTTCTTGGGCTCCTCTTTAAGACAGTGCTGGAGGGGGGAAGTATAAGGAAAACAGAAGGAGGGGAGGAAGATAAGTGTCAATCTGTTCAAACTTGTTTGGGAATTTGAGAAGGGCGGGAGGAGGGGACGAGAGAGAAACAGAAAGAAAGAGAGGGAGGAACACTGAGAATCTTTTTACTTTGTTCAAACCTATTTTTGCTTATGTGAACACATTAAGTAGGACAGAGGCAGGCTGGATAATTAAATCAGAGTTTTCAATAGAGCATTTTTCACACTCAACTTTGGTTCTCTCAATGGGCAAACACTGATATGTGGAATGTCTGTGAGTTGTGCAATTCCTGCTAGCTTCACTTTGTCAAGAAAGCAAAGGAAAAGTTGGAGAGAGACAGAGAAGCGTCCCCCAAGACACTTCTCAGGTGAGTCCTCTGCATTATTCCCAAAACTTTTCATTTTTTCCTTTTTGTTGTAACTTTAGTAAACCAAACAGTTCTTGTAAACAAACTTGTCCACATCGCAGGCAAATACTGCATTGAGAATATTACTCTGTTTATTCTGTTCACCACAGTCATTTTCTTATGAATCTGTTAATGTTAATTTGTTGTGCATCATGATAATTCATTACATCTTGACATGAGTCAGCTATGTCGAAGACTTGCTCCTTCAACCTCTCTTAAATAGTGCTTCGGCTCTTCATAGGCATGAATTACTTGAAATGCCTCTGAACAAGATACAAGAATAGCATAGGGCATTGGTTGGTTGAACTGCATTCTTTGTAAATTACTGAACTTTTTATTTTGCTGAACTGACAGACAGGCTATATATCAACTGTATATATAATGTATCTTATGAGTTCTTATTAGTTGAATTGATTTGCAGTAGTGTTAAGAGTAGTATATAAATAAAAAATATAAATGGCAATGTGTGTTATGCATACTAACAGTATATTAGACTGATTTGAAGTGACTTGTTTGACAAGAACAGTATATCTGTTGCGTTGCTGTTACTTATCTGGTGGAGTATAGTGCAAGAAACACCAAGGTCGTGGCTTCAGCTGTCTGGGAATAAAAATCTGATAAAATTCATACTTTGAATCCATTCAAGTCACTTCAGATAAGCATCTGCCAACTTAATTAATGTTAGACATTCAACTTGACACTTAAAAAAAAAAAGTTTAAGTAACTGTTTAAGCTGCCAAGGCATATACCTGACATGTTTCAACAAGATACTCCAAAGTTTTAAAGATTTCCAAGAGTATGTTTGAATGTTTTCCTCTTTTGAATATGAATTTTATATGGTTGATTGATTTATTGACTTTATTGATTGAATTTTGACTTTCCTTATAGGTTCTCTATGTTGCAATGGAAACCAGTCAAATTAATTGGGCCATCCAAGACACTGTGCAGATACAGTCCTCTTAAGGTGCACTAGACAGGTTGTCGATCAAGTGCAAACTGTGACCTGAGTCCTTGAGCTAATTGGCAAAGGTGACCTGGGTGAAGAAGAGACTCACCGAAAGATGGACAAAACAAGAGAAAAAGAAATGGAGCCAGACACGTGTGATGGGATTAGGGACAGGGAGAGATTTCTTGCAACCCGAAGAAGAGATGGAGAGATTGACTGGAGAGAAAGAGAGAGGCAGAGAAATGGAGATCGATGTGCAAATGGAAGCTCATCAGTGTCAGAGCAGGCTGAGTATGGAGATCGATACAATGAGAGGAGAAAAGGGGACACTTTTCCAAAGATGACAAAACCAAACAGAGTGAGAGACAGAAGGATACCACTTCCAGACTATGAAAGAGAGCGTCACATGGGAAGACCGAAGGACATACTGTATGAAAATGAAAGAGAAAAGGAAAGGAGGAGATACAGAGACATGGACATGCGGAGTGAAAGAGAAATTGCAAGAAACAGGGAGGAGCTGAGGAGAAATGAAATGAGAAGGCCTGTAAAGGAGGAGCCAGATAGACAGAGGGAACGAGACAGGGAGTTTGACTCAGGAATGAGAGATAGAAGGAGAGAAAGTTATCCAGGGGTCAATGACCTTTCAGGCATGAGGGAAAGAGAGACAGACAGAGACAGAGAAAGACATAGACAAAGAGACAGAGAGGGCAGATATTATCCTCGGCTCATGGAAAGAGAGACGGAGAGCTTTTCAGACAGGGAAAGGAGGACTGATAGACAGAGAGAGGGAGAGAGATCTAGGAAAAGAGATACAAAAAGCGAAGGAGACAGTGATGGAGACAGGGGTAAGGAAAGGAAGAGAGAAGAAGATGCTACACATAGACACAAACTCTACAAGAGTGAAGGAGACGGTGATGCAGGGCGAAGGGCAGACAGAGTTAGAGAAAGAGAGAGACGTAGAGAGAGAGAAGCCGAAAGATGGCGAGACAAGGCAGTAAGAGGAAGAGATTACCGAGAGACGGGTTACCATGATCCAAAAGTAGAAAATTCAGAACGACTCAAAGAGACTGATAAACCAAGAGATAGAACGAGAGACTCCAAAGACAAAAGAATGGACAGAGATGCTTACTTATACACAACTGAAAGAGGTAGGTATAGGGATGGAGAAAGGATAAGAGATAGGGATAGGTATTCTGAAAGAGAGATTGAAGAGAGGGAGAGGCGGAGGAAAGAGTACAACGAGACAGGGAGAAGTAAGATGGAGAATAGTGGAGAGCTGATTTCAGGAAGTGATATTGAGAATGAAAAAAAGAGGACAATGAGAGCGAACCTTGAGGACAGAGACAGAGAAAACACATCTGAGATTGATAAAGAGAGACTGAAGGAAAGAACAGAGGAAGAGCAGGAAGTAAGGAGTACACCGAGGGAAGAAGAGAAGAGTGAAAGCTTTGCTGCTGAGGAAGCAGTTACAACGAAACCTAAGAACAGGATAAGGAAAATGTGGCTGGAACCTCGAAGTGAGAGAAAAGAATCTTGTTTAAAAGAGGACGGAGAGAGAGAGAGAGAAAGAGAGAGGTACATCCAAAGATACAAAGAAAGCATGACAACAGGAAATGAAGAAGAGCCTGAGAGAAGGAAACCAAGCAAGAGCAAATGTCTTGAGGACAAGTATAGAGAACTTGAAAGGGCTGGAGAGTTCATGAGGGATGTGGACGTAGAAAGGGAGGAGAAGAGGATGGAAGGGGACATGGCTTATGATAAAGAAGCCATGGAATCAGAGTGGCAGATGGAAAGAGAGAATGTGGCCGATAACTTAAAAGAAAATGATAGAGATGAACAGAGAAGCAATAATAGATATGACTACTTGGAGAATGAGGAAGGAAGTGAGGGAGAATCGGAAGCAGAGAAGAACAGAATGATGTCAGCAGATGACGGATTTGTAACAGTCTCCAGTGGAGGGGATGATGCGGAGGAAGAGGATTTTGAAGACTGCAAAGAATTCTGGGAAGGTGGAGTTCCCAAAGCTATCTCTGGACACTCAGGAACTACAGAGGACACAGAAAATGGGGCAAATGAAGCTCCAAAAGGACCCCTAAGAGTCTTTTGTGTGATTGGTCAGACCCATCCCACGTCACAAACCAATGAGAATTCATATGCACATCCTACTGTTGAAGAGGCAGCCAATCAGCATTCATGTCATAACATGGGCACTCAAGGTGAAATGAGCATAAATGAAGCATTTGAAAAGGTTGAACACTGTGAACAGGACATTGAAAGAGCAATGGCTGACCTCAGTCTTTGTCCTAATGAGGACAAAGGGGAGGGAGCAGGGAGTAATGACCAGACAACAGAGGGCGTAACATCACTGGAAGGCCAAATGATTCCTCCCAGTGAGCGATCAGAACAAGACACCCAACTCTTCCTACCAGAGCCTTCTGAAACTTCAGGGCCATCCAAGGATAATGGTCATGGGGGAACAGAGACTCATAGTGAAGAAACAATACAAAGAGGAGCAAAAGAACCTACCGGAGACCCAGTGGAGCATTCTGGTTCTGATGACACATGGAGCACATCTGAGGAACGAAAGCGATGCTCTACTGCTCCTCACCTTAGTTGGGCCAAGAACGTGGTGAGAGAGATCCTGGGTCCAAAGTCGGTGGACACAGAAAATGCAAGAGGTAGTGTGACACACATAGACACGCAAACCAACACACAAACAGAGGGTGAGAGAGAAATGGACAAATCAAGGAAAGAGGCAGAAATAATAGAGGGAGGAGAAGAACAACAGGGTGGGATGGAGAGAGAGTTGAATGAGAACCGTGACTGGCTGGATCCTAATTCTAACCAGCACACGGTTTCCTCAGAAGGAGAGGCAGAGGGGAAGGTAGAAGAAGTATCTAAGAAGAAAGAGAGTAAAGAGGAAGTTGTTCTAAGCTCTAGTAGTTTTCGAGATTTGGGGAATGAGGCTCGCACGAGGAGGCGAGGGTTTCGAAAGTCAGCGGAGAAAACCAAAGAAGAGGAAGAGGATGAGAACGAGGAAGAGGGAGTTGGAAGGGACCGCAGGACGAGAATATTCAACAAATCAGGTGAGAGGAAGACTAACATAAGAAGGCTGACTTGGACATTCAGTGACCCACTTGCTCCCACTCATGTGAGAAGAGATCTAAATGTGTCTTGAGATGTCTGTTGAACCTATTCTATCAAATTGAATATACCAGTGGTATAATGTCATGTAGAGAGGCTAAATGTGCTTACGCAAGAATGTAACACAGAAATCCATGAGTCATCTTCCCCTAAATAAGTGTCAGTATGGGCGTTAAAATGGTTTATTTTCCTGTCATTTAATTGAGTGTTCCTAACATTTGAACAGTAATAAGCAGTTAAAACTATTCACTGACAGCCTTATGGCAGATATGTTGGGACTGTGAGATCCTTATTTATAACCTCAGCGATGGAATAACATTAAAACTGTTTATGAATATGCGATTATTCGCTTTAATCTGATACAATTGGGTCCCGAACGGTGTTTTATGTTCAAATGGATTGCTGGTGAGTGTAGACACTTTAAAGAATGAGAGCATGATACACCCCAGCGATTTCACAGTTTTCATTCATATTGACTGGGTCAGACATAATCAGAATCAGAATCAGAAGAGCTTTATTACCAAGTATGTTTACACACACAAGGAATTTGAGAGAGAGAGTACACATCCCTGGGGAGCGCCAGTGCTGATGGTGATAGTCCTGGATGTGAGTTTGCCCAGCCTCACTAGCTGCTGCCTGTCTGTCAGGAAGCTGGTGATCCACTGACAGATGGAGGTGGGCACGGAGAGCTGGGTGAGTTTGTCTGAGAGAAGGTCAGGCATGATGGTATTGATAATTAGTATATATATGTATTACATGATGGTATTACATGATGGTAATATATAATTAGTCAATGATGGATCTAATGCCAACAGAAAAATATAAATAATATTCTGAACAGTCCTAAAATTGTTTATTTACATTTTTATAGTAATATAGGACAGTAAATATTTCAATCAAAAAAGTTTTTTTTTTTTATTAAAGAGACCCATTCTTAGGACTTTAAAGAAATCTGAAACCACACAAACAGTAGACTTTAGGTTCTCATACCGCAGGAGTAACTAATAATGTATTCCCCCAGCATTTTTTTTTTTGGGGGTAGTCTCATTTTAAAAGACTGGAAGCTCCAGAGGGCTCCTGAGGATTCTTGTGGGGGTTGGAGTCATGACCACTGAAGACTCTTTAAACAGCAGCATTTCTTGGAAGAGACAGAATTTTGAGCTGCCAGATTTCCTTTGTTTCACAAACTAAACCATTCTCATTCATTCATAACAAGTCCTCCCCCAGTACACGTTCCTGTTTTTTCCCCCTTCATATTTCTCATTGCATTAGGGTTATTTTTATTTATTGCCACATTTTCTTGAAAGCTATTGAGTTGCTCATACCCAGAGGTCTTACAGTCTAGTCTATCTTTTCAGTTATTCACTGGAAAGCTTGAGGCAGTTCCCATGTGTACAGCTTGTGTACAGCTATGTAGAATCATCCCCATCTCTTTTGCTTGAGATGGAGTGTTACTGGATTTAGGCTGCTTAAATTCTGATCTTATCTTGGTTAAGGGAAGCTTAAGGTGCTAAAAAACAACATTGTGATGTGTGCTGATTTCTCTGTGTTTTGGTTTGTATAGATGATAAAGAGGACGAATTATGTTTTACCTGGAGTGAAATGGATCTAAGGTAGGAGAACATGTATACTGCATGTATAAACACTCCCATATTTTGTCCCTCATTAAAAATGTTTTCCATGTAAAGGAGTTAATTGTAATTTTGATAAATGTTTAAATCATGTACACTTACATGAGATGACAACTCCAGGTGTGTCTGCCAAGCTTAATAAAAGCTGCTCTTATTTTACATAGAGCAGGTGGGTAGATATTTTTGGAGGAATGAGGCTGACTATGAATAGTACATTTCTTCAATGGTGTCCTTAACTGAAAACTATGATACTGCAGGCACACTGGTTCAAATGACATATTAGACAGCTCAATTTATGCTCTATGATTCCCATTTATAATGTGCTAATATCTAAATTCATGCATTTTTTGGACATCTAATATTGTTCAGTTGAAAATTGAACAATATCAATCTTACAATCTTACAAATGACCATTATATCACAGATGTCCTTTGCTGTTTCTCTCTCTCTTTTTCTTACTTTTAGGAAACTTGGGAGGACAAGAAAGAGGAATTCGAAATTCTTTAGTAAGTCGTTGTATTGTCTTTATCTGTCTTGATCTTTACATGGACATGGCTATATAACCAAAGACTATAGGAACTTTGCTCTAACAGATTACAAATAAATATTTCTGTTTTACGTCTTCAAAATCCATTAAAACATTACTAAGACACATACCATTCCCAGTCATACAAATCCCAATTTCACACACACCCTTATGTATACATGGTAGTGTACATAATATGATTGTAACTGGCTGTAAAATATAGGAAATACATGGGTGGTTACAGTTCAGATGTTGAGAGCAGGGAAAGTTTTGTCATTCCTGACTATGCTTACTTTGCTAGTCCTCCAGGCAAAGAACAGGTTTGTGCTTGCACATCACTTGGAACTGCAGATAAACAGTTGCAAATTCTCACTTAGTATTAAAAACGCTTTCGTGGATGTTCCTGCTTGTGCATGTTTTTTTGCCCTGTTCAATCACTTACCTGCTGTGCTTTTTTGCTTTCTATGTCATTCTGACTTGATCTCTGTCTGACCTGGTGGATCATAGACAGGTTTAGCCTTTTTTCTGCTCTTTTTGCTGTATCTAACAAATTCATTTATATAAATGTATAAGGTATGATTATATGCATTTAGCATTCATTTTCTTTGTGTTCTGATGAGGGTCGTGGACAACAGAAAAAAAAAACAATGCTAAATCTAAATGCAATTAAACAAGTTATGCATAGTTACTTCTCATAAGTATTTGTTGGTTTTTAAGCAAACTTAAAATCTAGCCAAATTAGGCAGATAACAGCATAGAGAAGTTGCATGCCATGCACTTATTCTTAAAAACCATGAACAAACCATAAAGGTAAAAGAAAATATGACCCAGGCTACATTAAATACGGGATCACGTGCGGTGAGAGTAAATATGGTTGGTTTCTGCCAACCACAAAGTGTTTTATACAAATTATTGTTTGCTTATGTAGTTCCTCCTGCTAATATTAATGTCAGTGCTTGATTTCAAGGACATGCGTTTATTTTTTTGTGATAAACAATTTTGGTTCCTTGTATCCAATGTAAAATCTGGGTCCAATTGAGAAGCACAGCTCTAGAACCATATCAGTGATTTCTCTTTCTCTTGCAGACTCTCAGTTGTATCAGGAGTACAGTGAGGTGGTCCAGAACAGAGAGATTCTGCTGTCTCATTCTGATTCTCTATCAATAAGTTCATCTTCCTCTCCAAATCATTCCCCTAAGTTATCACGCAGACCTCTCCCACCTCTCCCTCAAGTCCTCCAATACCCTCACACTCTGTCCAAAACCAACTTCTTTAAAAGTCTGAATGTGCCTCAGCAATCCATAAACAGACCCCCGTCCCCTCGCCTGTCTATCTCTGCTTCCTCACCCACACTGTGGCAGGATCTCCCCGGAGTGAGGAGCAGCCTAGAGTTGGAGGAACTTACTGAGGATGAGAGACGCCTGCAGGAGGTAGAATTATTAGATCAGTATCCCCTACTAAACATTAAAAGTGGCTCAAGTCATAAACTTAAAAATGTATGATACATGTCATGTACTAGATAATAACATTCCAAACCAAGTGTGATTTATTTGAAAGAAAAACAGCTCAAGCTCACTTTGCAACAAAACACTTCACAAGGATAAAACTATTAACTAACTTGAGGGGAACTAACATATCGTACATTTACTAAAAAGGATCTTGGTGGTTGGAAGTAATTGTCAAAATGTGAAAAGTGAAGTTAGAAAAGGTCTAACACTTGTTAACAGAAAAGTACGTTGAATCCACTTTGATATTTTGTTATTAAATGAAATGACATTTTTAAGTTTGGCTTAAGTGTCCACTGTTTTTACAGTACGCATTATTGCATTATGGCTGTATTTACTGTACACATTCGGGTAATTGTGTAAGAAGGTTTTCCAATAAGTTGTAAAGTCACATTGCAAGATATAATACCACAATTGGGAAATACATATGCAATTATAAGAATATGAGACTAAAGTAAATGGAAACAATTAAAAGAAACAAATTCACAAATGCAAGATTTAAATCACATTTTGTGATAAAAAAGACATAATGTAACAGAGTAACATATAAAACCCCAACTGAGAGAAATATAAAGTCTCAGTTGCAGGTAACAGTCCTCACTGCAAGATTTAGCTTGTTTCGAGATATAAAGGAACACTGTAACTGATTGTAATTGTGTAAAATAGTCATAATTTTTATATATAATGTTACAGTTACCTTTAATTTTTAACTCTGAGAGAGAAACAGGATTTCATGGTACATTGCAGTACTAACATCTTGCAACAAAATAGGTGTTTCAAAAGATATTTGTTTTTATTAGTAACGATAGCAACATGAAGAGTCTCTGTCTTTTTCAGGTGAGGTTTGAGGTCGTGACCTCTGAAGCGTCATGCTGCCGCAGTTTGGACATCGTAGTGGAGAACTTTGTCATGTCCAAACAGCTCAACGTTATCCTGTCTTCACAAGACAAAAACTGGCTGTTTTCCAGGCTAAATGATGTTAGAGCCACCTGTCACAGGTTAGACTCATGTCATTAAATTAACAGAATAACGGCTTCTTTAAATACGGGATCACTTTCAGTGAGGGTAAACATGGTTGGTTTCTGCCAACCTCAATGTGTTTTGTGCAAATTATTGGTTGCGTAGTTAATGCTAATATGAATTAATGCAATTGCTTGATTTCAAGGACATTTGTTTACTTTTGTGTGACAAAAAATTTGGTTCCTCTTATCCATAGTCAAATCTGGGTCCAACTGAGAAGCACAGCTCTAGAACCATATCGATGATCTCTCTTTCTCTTTCTCTTGCAGACTCTCAGTTGTATCAGGAATACAGTGAGGTGGTCCAGAACAGAGAGATCCTGCTGTCTCATTCTGATTCTCTATCAATAAGTGCATCTTCCTCTCCAAATCATTCCCCTAAGCTATCAAGCAGACCTCTCCCGCCTCTCCCTCAGGTCCTCCTACACCCCCACACTCTGTCCAAAACCAACCCCTTTAAAAGTCTTAATGTGCCTCAGCAATCTATAAACAGACCCCCGTCCCCTCGCCTGTCCATCTCTGCTTCCTCAACCACACTGTGGCAGGATCTCCCCGGAGTGAGGAAAAGCCCAGATTTGGAGGAACTTACTGAGGATGAGAGGCGTCTGCAGGAGGTAGAATTATTATTCAGTGTCCCCAACTATACATTGCATACAACACATACCGCTTTTCTACTGGGGCTGGTGCCAGAGCTGGAGCTGATGCTCGGCTGAGAGTGGCACTCGTTCAGAACCGGCTCGCGTTTTCACTGGCAGGGAGCAGAACCCTCTACGTCACCAACATGTGACCAGAATCGCTTGTTATCTCTTGCAGAAGGAGAGCGTTGATCTGTTCTGATGACCACTGCTGAACTGACATGTTTAATTGTTGCTGTTTATGTTGTTAATTTATTTGAACTCCATTGGCTTTTAAAAATGGCGTCTTTCAAACTGTAGTCTGTAGTGGAAGCTCCGCCTACTGACGTTATAACTTCCCTTGTTCGAGACCAGCCAGGTTTCGGGGCTGGTTCGGAACCGGGATCTGGGCACCAGCCCAGGACTTTTTTGAGTGGAAAACCGCAGCCTGGTTCCCATTTGGGCTCTGGCTCCGGGCACCAGCCCCGGTGGAAAAGCAGTAACAGTGAATGTCATTGTACTAAATAATAACATTTCAAACCAAGTGCCATTTATTTTAAATAAAACAGCTCAAGCTCACTTTTCAACAAAACAATTCACAATGATAAAACAACGAGGGGATAAATCTTAAGGGGAACTAACATCTCATACATCCACTAAAAAAGATCTTGGAGGTTGGAAGTAATTGTACATTACTTTTAAGTATGTTTATGAATGACATGTAAAGATACATTGTGAGGTATAAAACCACAATTGTGAAATATATAGGCAATTGTGAGAAAAGTCACCATAAAGTCACAGTTAAAATAAACAAATTCATTAATGCAAGATTTAAAGCCAGATTTTGAGATAAAAAAGTCATTTGGAAGATATAATGTAACAATGTGAGATATAAAACTACAACTGAGAGAAATATAAAGTCTCAGTTGCAGGTAACAGTCCTCACTGCAAGATTTAGCTTGTTTCGAGATATAAAGGAACACTGTAACTGATTGTAATTGTGTAAAATAGTCATAATTTTTATATATAATGTTACAGTTACCTTTAATTTTTAACTCTGAGAGAGAAACAGGATTTCATGGTACATTGCAGTACTAACATCTTGCAACAAAATAGGTGTTTCAAAAGATATTTGTTTTTATTAGTAACGATAGCAACATGAAGAGTCTCTGTCTTTTTCAGGTGAGGTTTGAGGTCGTGACCTCTGAAGCGTCATGCTGCCGCAGTTTGGACATCGTAGTGGAGAACTTTGTCATGTCCAAACAGCTCAACGTTATCCTGTCTTCACAAGACAAAAACTGGCTGTTTTCCAGGCTAAATGATGTTAGAGCCATCAGTCACAGGTTAGAATCATGTCATTAAATTAACAGAATTCCTGAAGATAAATACATTTTAGTTTTGGATGTTAGTTTTAAAGAGGTTTAGATCGCTACATATACTATGTATGCTGCTGACATCATAAGACATAACTTTCAGACTCCCTAAATGTGTATGAATTCATCTTGGAGTCAGTTCTCAAACGTCTGCTCTGAAATCTGAATTACATCACTAATATATGCTTCTTTTCACTTAGCTTTCTGTCTCAGCTGGAAGAAGCAGTGGAGAAGGACATTATGCGCTTTACCGTCTGTGACATCATTATCAAACTCTGTCCACGATTCAGAAATGTGTATGTGCCATACCTTACCAACCAATCATATCAGGACAAGACATATCAAAGATTGATGTGAGTATTTGTTTGCACTGATCTGAAGTGGGAAATGTGCTTTTCCCGTTTTATTTTTGTCCATGTGATTTCTTTTGGTTTCATTCCACCATCTCTCATAGGGACGAGAGTCATGAATTCCGTAGAGTTGTGGAAAAGTTGGAGCGTAACCCGGTTTGTCAACGACTGCCTCTACGTTCTTTCCTCATTTTGCCATTTCAAAGAATCACACGCCTCAAATTGCTTGTGCAGGTACTGTCTTCCTCGGTCCTGTTTAATTCTGCCTCTCACATTTTTTTATGACACATTCCCTAACTTTGCAGGAAATGCCATGACTCATGCTTGCTAGGAGCACGTGCTTTCCCCTGCCTTCTTCGTCTATGCTATATTAACATGATATTAGATGCCATCCATCTCCTGTCACAAAGAATATGACATGCTGCATTTCTAAATGCCCTCTTTTCTCTTGTCTTTGTTGGTAGAATATTGTAAAGAGAACTGCCCCGAAAACCAAGGATGAAGCACAGGCCATTAAGGCCATGAAACTACTTGAGAAGGTGAGACTCTTTATGTACTTGGAACAATGTAGTTATGTCACCCACATCTCCGCATTGGAATTTCTTATCAGTTTTCTTTCTCACCACTGTCCCATGTTTCCTTGCTTCTTAACAGATGATCCAGGACGGTAATGAAAGTATCTCTCAAATGAAGAACATTGAGTCACTTGTGACCCTCAATGCCAAAGTTGACTTTGAGTGCAGGGTGAGCATGACATGTTTGGGAACCTAATTTGTACTGTATGCCATCTGAATAATATTTAGAATGTACAATGACTTATTTTGTGTCTCTTAGACTCTTCCATTGATCAGTCAGTCCCGCAGACTGGTACGAGAGGGACCTGTGACTGAACTGAGAGACTTTTCTCTGAAAGACAGGGAAGAAGAGAGAAATGTTTATATGCATCTTTTCAATGACTATCTCCTGGTCTCTTTGCGGAAAGAGTACGTTTGGCTTTCTTTAACATCCATACTTCAATTGTCATTCTTAGTCTTTGAGAAGTGAAATCAGGCTTTTCATGTTTAATGCAAATGATATCTTATGTTTTATGGTGCAATTACCGCTTAACTTCCTGTTTGCAGAGGGGGTAGGTTTACAGTTATCGATCATGCACCTGTGTCAGAGCTGCGGGTTGAGAACTGCAGGTTTAAACTGCATTCCTTACAAAAAAACCTGTTCCATCTGCACATGCCACAAAAGGCCCTGCTCTTGCGGACAGATACCCAGTAAGTATGTCATTGTGTATGTCTATTATGAGAGAGAAGCTGATGCTATCTTGTAAACATGCAATGGCTGCCACGTGTGCATGCCTGTGAAGTCCTCATCCCTGTAGGGCAGGAACGTCCAGTCTTACTCCTGGAGGGCCAACTTCCAATAGAGTTTATATGAGTTACTCCTGAATTAGCTCTTCAGTATCTCTTCCCCCCAGGAGCGGGATTGGACACCCCTGCTGTACTGCAGAGTTGGGTAAATTACTTACAAATTGTAATCCATTATTGATTCCAAATTACATGACACAAATTTTGGTTAGTAACGTAATCCATTAAATTACACATTTTAGGTTATATAATCAGACAACTTTTAGATTACTTTCAGATTAATTTTGTTTTGACCTATCTCATTTTTCATGTTTAACCGTATTGTACCATATTGATAAAAAAATACAAAGAGTAAGAAAATATATTCCATTTGTTATTATCAACAACATGAAGTGCATTAAACATATTACGCCACGGTTTCCCAAACTGGGTTTGTGAAGGAACTGTAGGGGGTTTATGAGTTCAATGAAAAGCTAATAATTAATTAAATTAATTAAAATTATATATTTTAAAATGAATCAAAATAGAAAACTTACTGAAACAATTAAATATTTTGTTTACCTGCATGTCATGTAACTATAGCCAACGTCAGAGAACCATGAACATGCAAATGTGATACTTCATTATTAAAATATTTATTTTAAAATCTCAGGGGTACTTTATATAAAAATACTGTATATTAGGTGAAAGAGGAACAGATGACAAAAAAAGTTGTGATTTTGTGCATTTTAATGCATTTGCAAGACAAAAAAAAAGTAATACATGTTAAAATAACCGACTGAGTGATAATACAAATAAAAATTAATGTGTTCATCAGAAGTTGATGCAACGTTGAAACACTTCTTAAACCTGGTCAAATGCTTTGTAGCCACCTGACTAATGACTGGTCTCTGTGTGAATGTCCACAAAACTGGAAGACTTTCTGAGTGTATATAAGCGGCAGGCTATTTTAAAAAGGACAATTTAAAAGATGAAAAAAAGGAATTAGGGAGAATCAATAAATTATGAATAAATTATTGCTATTGTGTAAATAATATGTAATCATGTAATCCATAAAAAAGTAGCTGTAGTCTGATTACGAGTATTTTAAAAATGTAATTTAATCTAATTACAAGTGATTAATTTGAAATCTGATTACGTGATCCAGATTGCATGTAATCAGTTGCTACCCAGCTCTGCTGTAGTAGTGTTTCCACATTTGCAACTTTGTCACATATTGGACAGCATAAATTCAGTTCGGTCCAGCAACCTTGTGTTTTGCAATCTGGTTGTGCAGAATATTGCGTTAAATTAACCTGTACCCATCTTTCATTTTCTATCATCTCTCAGAGCCAATAAATTGCGCTGGATATCAGCGCTCTCACGTCCTTATCCTGAGATTGACTTCAGTGCAGTTCAGGGTATGTGCGCTTCCTGCTTTAAAAGAAACTGCAGTGTCAAAGTAAATATTCTAATGCTAGTAATTTAACATACTCTCTTTTTCCATTTGCAGACATTTCACAAGTGCAGTGCATCAGAGCATTTGTTGCCCAGCAACCAGATGAGCTAAGTTTAGAGAAAGCTGATGTTCTGTTAGTTCACCAGCAGAGTAGTGATGGTAAGTTAAATCTAATCACATGAACACAAGAAAAAGATCTTTAACCACAAGGTTAAGAACAGTGCTAAGAACTCTGCCACTGCTTCCAGGAAAGCCAAGGTTTGTTCACATGTTAGGAATCACATTTGCCCAGGGGCGCCCAATCCTGTTCCTGGAGATCTACCTACCTGCAGAATTCAGATCCAACTCTGATTCAGCACACTTGTCTGTAATTATCAAGAGCTCCTGCATATCTTAATTAACTTGTTCAGTTGTGTTAGCCTAAACAAAAAACACCCTGACCAATATAAACAAGTAGTCACCTTATAAAGTAGAAACTATGTTGGCCTTTATTTATAGTACATTTATTGTTTGTCTAGTTTAGCCCAAGTTTAGACCAAGCCCACATTCACTAGAGATCTAAGGGATATGTGGTAGACTAGAAATATAACAACCCGTTAACGCCCATCTTGTGAGACTCATCTCCATTGTTAATGCAACATACAATGAAAGAGTTCTTGGAGAACTTGTGTGGGTAGATCAAGATGGTGTTGTACTGGTATCTGCAGTGTAACAAAAAGGGAGATATGACGCTAGGATAGGACAGAGATAGTCCCGGAATTCCAACCTGATTCAAGAACCTCCTATAGCTTCCCAAGTTTTTTAAGTTGAAGTGAGTTTTGTATCGCATGTACTGTAGATCATGACATCATCCATACATGTGTATATGGTAAGCAAACTCCAGTGGGTCCAGTCTGACCATCAGGGACTTTTTTGGCCTAGGTATACTACTAAAGATCTCAAGATTGCAGTCTAGAGAATGGTTTCATAACGCTTGAGATGATTCCATTAGTCCCCACAACATTGGCAAAGGTTGATTGCTTCTTACCTCACCTGATCAGCAAAAACAGACTATTGAAGAGTGAGCAATGGTGAGAAGAGTTGAGCCCTTGTACATGAGTTCTTTTTAAATTTGAAGGGATTTTAAGGGATAGTTCACCCAAAATTGAAAATTGGGAGGGGGGGGTTATAAAGGCCTCATGAAGCGAAGCATTTGTGTAAGAAAAATATCCATATTTAAAGCTGCAGTCAGTAACTTTTTTTGGTTAAAAATGATACAAAATCAATTTTTGAGCAAGTACATAACCAGCCAGTGTTCAAAACTATTGCCTTACTTTAGCCCGATTCACAATGTTAAGCTTATAATAATGTTTTCTAATTTGAGTGGTACTGGTAGGAATTTGCAGGAAATTAGAGCAAGCTGCTGCGTCATTACGTCACGTCTGTAAACATAAAGAAGTTGTCCCGGCTACTAGGCTATCACATGTGAGGATCCTGCAGGTGGAGGATCGTTTATAGCCCTTTCTCACAGCTGAAATAATTACATTTATCATTTTGATCACGGATTGTAATCCATAAAGGATTGTGTTTATGAAATACAACTGAAATTGGAATATATTCCAGTTTTAAATGTGCATCTGACTACAGATAGCCTACGTGGGATTACACAAGTTATTCTTTTTTTGGTATTTGTATTTCAAAGAGAACCAGTTCGAAGGAAGAATAATTTGCTTTTTGGATTAAAATAACTTATTTATATTAAATTTGAACTGTATGACAATTAGAGATTAGACTGTACAGAAATTGAAATCTACATGTAACGCTATTAGCGTTACATGTAGATTTCAATTTCTGTACAGTCTAATCTCTAATTGTCATACAATTCAAATTTGAATACAGACCAACTGTTAACATGAACAATTTGAGAACAAGTATAACAGTAATAATAATTTGCACGGTTTGATGTGATATAAGCTAACTGATTGTTAAGATTATTCACCATTGTAGTGCAATTGTAATCCTTTTCCCTCAGTTGGTCAGAACAAAAGTGTCAGACTTGTTACTTGTTTAGATGACAATATACGGTGAAAATTCTTATTTAGGTCATATATTCCTAGACGTAGGTAAGAATCTGTGATTCCTAAGTACAGTATCCACACCGGTGCGGTGACTGACAGCCACACATACTCCTCAAAACATTAGATTCATCCGCGCTGGAGCCGTGCCGACACACAACCCACGTTTAAGAAAATAATTCCACAAATAACTGCAATTGCAGGTTTCAAACAGAGATGGCGACAAAGAGGCAAAACTTACGGACTGCAGCTTTAAAACTTCATAAACCGTAATCTCTAGCTTCCGCTAACTGTTGTTGTTGTTGTGCACGCGTTCACAAGAGCGTGGCGTTCCAGCGGATGACATAGGCGTAGCGTAAGCTCCGGTGAGGATATGCTTGAATCAGGAGTGTTTGATTAAGGAGACATACAAAATGTTCAGTGTTGCGGATTCTCCAGATCCAGATTTGGAAACCCCAGATCTAGGTCAGTGCTTTTCAAACCTGTCCTGGGGACTCATCTACTAATGAGCTGATGAGTTGAATTAGGTGCGTTAAATAAGGGAGACAAACAAAATATGCAGTGGTTGGGGTCCCCAGGAAAGGTTTGAGAAGCACTGATTTAGGTCACTGTAGAACAGGGATGTCCAATCTTGCTTCTAGAGGGCCACCTTACTGCAAAAATGAGCTCCAACACACCTGCCTGGAAGCTTATTGTGATCCTTAAAACCTAGATTAGCTAGTTCTGGTGTGCTTAATTAGGGCTGGAGCTAATCTCTGCTGGAAGGTGGCCCTCCAGGAGTAGGATTGGACTCTACCGTTGTAGAATGCATGGTGAAAGTCAGAAGCAGTTGGATTTGGCTCTAAATCAAGAGGCTTTTGTCACTTGCCCTAGAGAGGGTTCTTCTGTCATCAGATGTGAAATTCATGTGACTCTTTCAAGGTTAAGAAAAATATTTGGGATGGCTGTTCCAGCTGCACCTGGATAGACTCTGTATTCCTTATTTGGACCAGTATTATTAACAATGCGCACACAGAGATTTTTAAGACTGATAACCATTCTTTCATGACTAGGTCATTCCTAGTTACCACAGTTTATGTTAACAGGCATATTTTCCCACACACTGTATATGATTGTATTACTAATGAGGTGTCCTCATAGTACTGATAAATGAACTCCACTGAGCATATTCTATATGTCTGTTCTCAGGAACAGTTCAACAAGTTCCTAGTCAACAAAGCAAGTTCCTAGTAGATACTAACGTTGTTATGTCACAAGCAGAATTCAAGAATTGCTAATGGATGTTTTTACAAACTCAGTGCAAAATTCCATTTATGATTCTCTCCTTTTTATTCAGGCTGGGTGGAAGGAACTCGTCTGTCAGACAGACAACGTGGTTGGGCCCCTGACTCTCATCTGGAGACAATAGTCAGTGACAAAGCAAGAAAGCGCAATCTGCTGGACACCATGAAAATTGCTACAGCTGCAATGTGAAGCAATATGTATAGCCTTCAATGTTCTCAGGTGGACTTTTTCAATTACAATTTTTTTGTATTACTTTAAAGCCTTCAAGAACTTTAAGGATTTGTGTCTCAACTTCATGGGAAGTTTCTATTTATTTTGTGTATACACTCAAGCTGATAAGGGTGATGTGGGTGTGATGGCCTCACCCATGTCAGGGTACTACTCCACACCCTGCAAAAGTGTCTGGCAAGATGCTGAATTACAGCAACTGAACTTCTTAGATACCTTATGGACATTGACGGACTTTGCAAATGGCACAAATGCATCCATATGCAGTACCTGCTCCAAATGAGTATCTATGCAGCTTCCATAGTGTTGCTATAAGACTTTCTTAAAATTTGGAAGTGGGGAGTCATTCATGGGCAGAGATTTGGACTACAGTCTGTTGTCCTCAATCTGAGCAAGCCGTCTCACTGAGGAACCACGACAGCTGGACATAAGACATAAGCTGGATCTAAGTCGGCGTGTAACGCTGAATACTGCACCAAAACTACTTGTTCTCTGTTATTTATAAACATCAGATCCCCTTCAGCGTGGAATATAAATGCTGCCGGACTGCAGCCTGATGGGAATACAGTTTGAAGAGTTGTTGGTGTGCTCTAGGACACAAGATGCAAAAGGACAAATTATTAATAGCTGTGAAAAACAGTGGACTTTAGCAAAGTGCAAATTTGATTTAGGATCAAGAATTACGGATGCCTACTTTTTAAGACCAAAAAGTGTACAATACCCAAGGTTGTCTACAATGTACATAATATAGGTTTTTAACATAAAAGCTACAAGTATTATTTTTCATGGAGTAATTCCATCTCTGATTCCTGTTCAAACTGATTAGCATATAACTGTAATATGCCTTAAAAATAAACAGATAATTAGTTTCCTGAAAGAACATTTCATGGTTTAGCAGATGGGGTTTTTAGTCTTATCAAGTGCACTTTGAAGAATTATGGGAAGGCCATTAGGTAGCAAGAGCTTAAGAAAGAAGAATCGGAATGAAAGAGTAAAGTGGCACAGGATTCAGTAGGAAATCAAATGCTTTAGTGTGATTTACAATACGACGAATCAATGAACATTTCTTTAATTTAATTACTTTCTTTAAGTATGACAAAAAAGACCAAACTATATAAACAGCTTCTTGGCTATATGGAAATAAATTTTAAAAAAACACAAAAGTGGAAAATGGTTTTGTGATCAACTAAACTGTACTTGAAATATTCCTGATGGTTCCTGAGGTGAAACTGAAATCTACTTGAGCCCTGACCCGTAAACAATAGTAGCAGACAGGAAAATGACATTAAAAAGTACAAGATAATGCAAATACAGTAACACTTCACAATTAGGTTCAATTTGTTAACATTAGTTAATGTATTAGGTATCATGAACTAACAAAAGAAAATAATTTTAAGAATTAATTTAGGTTAGTGTTCATTTCTACATAGACTAATACATTTTTAGAATTTCAAGTTTTATAAATAATGTATTACCCTAGTAAAAAAAAAAAAGTGATATTTAAAATACATTCATTTCATTCTTAGTATAGTTCTTTAAACCGCATAAACACATTTCATTACACCAAATACACAAAATAATGTTATTTTTAGCAGCATCATATGACCCCTTTAACATATTTACTGACATATTGTTTGAGACTTAGTGATATAAAAATTTTAATTAAACTTTATTACTACTTGTGCACAATGCACATTTTTTAATATTAAGCCTAAAATGTGTTTTAATGTCACAACTGTTGAGGATTGTATGATCTTTGAATAATATTGGTCTTTAAATGTAAGATATTTAAAGTGTACCTAAAGTATACTTGCAACAGTTCCACTTTAGCACAGTCAGTACTTCAGTATATCTTTAGTAAGACCTCAGCACTACTTACGGACAATTAAAGTTCATTAAGTACAAAATTAGTTGTTCCGATTCAGTAGACTTTAAGTATATCGGTTTAGTATACCGTAAGTACAATTGCAGGATATTTTTTATTAAGTACATAAATATGTAAATGTATATGTAGTATACTTAGCATGAAATAAATGTATTTTAAATACATTTTAGTATATTTATTTTTCACTAGGGTATAAATGGGAATAAATCAACAATGAACAATAGTAATGCTGTTCATTTTAGTTTAGGCCCGGTTTCATAGACAGGGCTTAGCCAAAGCCAGGATTAGGCCATAGTTCAATTAGGACATTTAAGTCATTTTTATAAACATGCCTTAGAAAAAATCATTATTGGTGTGCATCTTAAGACAAAACAAAGGCACTGACATGTTTTAAGATCAGTCAGTGCAAGTTTCTTTCAGTTGAACCAGCTCAGATTTACATTTTAGTCTAGGACTAGGCTTAAAGGGATAGTTCACCCAAAAATGAAAATTTGATGTTTATCTGCTTACCCCCAGGGCATCCAAGATGTAGGTGACTTTGTTTCTTCATTAGAACATAAACGAAGATTTTTAACACAAACCGTTGCAGTCTGTCAATCTTATAATGGAGGTGAATGGGAATCGCGGCTTTGAGAGTAAAAAAAAAAACATACACAAACAAAACCAAATGAAACCCTGCGGCTCGTGACGATACATTGATGTGTAAAGACACAAAACGATCGGTCTGTGCAAGAAACTGAACAGTATTTATATTGTTTTTTACCTCTGATTCACGCAATGTCCAAACTGTTCGAACTGTCCTGAGCGGCGGCGTGTCCTCCTGAGCGTGTTCTCAACAGCAGGCGCCTGAGGTGTCTTCTTCTTCTTGCTTTACGGCGGATCGCAGACTTATAAGTGCATTACCGCCACCTATCTCTCAAGTGGACCATTGACACTCCTAATTGAGATTGTAGATGGAGTGTCAATGGTCCATTTGAGAGATCGGTGGTGGTAATGCACTTATAAGCAAGAAGAATAAGACGCGTCTGAGAACGCGCTCAGGAAGACGCGCCGCCGCTCACGACAGTTCAAACAGTTCGGACATTGCGTGAATCAGAGGTAAAAAAACGATATAAATACTGTTTAGTTTCTTGCACAGACCGATCGTTTTGTGTCTTTACACATCAATGTATCCTCACGAGCCGCAGGGTTTAATTTGGTTTTGTTTGTGTATGTTTTTTTTTACTCTCAAAGCCGTGATTCCCATTCACTTCCATTATAAGACTGACAGACTGCAACGGTTTGAGTTAAAAATCTTCGTTTGTGTTCTAATGAAGAAACAAAGTCACCGACATCTTGGATTCCCTGGGGGTAAGCAGATAAACATCAAATTTTCATTTTTGGGTGAACTATCCTTTTAAGCCTTGTCTGTGAAACCGGGGGCTAATGTATTAACTAATGTTAACAAACTGAAACTTTTTGTAGTGTTCCCACAAACATGATCTGATGGTTAGGAAGAAGAAGATTGTGATGTAAAGAGAAACTTGCTGTTTTTTATTAGCCACTTGGAGGTTTCAATATGTGCTCGAAGAAGCCATGAATAGTCTAATCTCAAGCACGCTGCATATTAACAAACACCCAACATGCATCCAGACGTCGACAGTGAATTCGACAAACACACAATCAAAGACACACACACACTCATGAGAACTTCAGCACCAGGTAGAACAGGAACATCTCTGCACTCACTCCCTCACATAACATTATCATCTGCACTATGCGGTACTAGACTAGACTAGTACTATTACCAACTGTTTTAATATGTATTATCACTGATTTACACTATATAAACTTTGCACATGCTGAACAGTCAGTGTCATCTAATAGGAGACAGGCCATGATTAAGGGAGACACATGCACGAACACTCCACAAATCATATCCAAAGAGGTTCTAATGAGAACGTACAGGTGCCGCTTGCGAAGAGTAGCACAGTGTTAAAATAGGAGGAGTGCATGGGTCTATGCGTGCACCACTTTTTAGAAGAACCTACATTTCAAAAGTCTTTCAGTCTGTCAAGTAAGTGCTACGAGATACGGAGAACCAGGACACACGCTTGGGACAACTGAGTGGATCTAATGACCCAACAGAGAATTTCTGCTATAGAGCTGCACATCACAAAAACTAAACTAAAGTGTAAATTCTTGACCTTTAACTAGAGCAACAATTAGGGGATACTAAAAAGTCTGTTATGAAAGAATGACGTAAAATGGGTTTGAGAACCAAGTTCTCTTTTAAAATACCAAACCTGAAAGCATAAGTGTGCAACCCACCCGCAGCTTTGAGTGTCCAGCTTTATGAGTGAGTGAACAGAGCTAATAGTACACTTGGTTCAGAGTACAGCGGATCTGAACAGAACAATGTGTTGGTTGAGATGTGTGTCCTATGGTACATTAAAATACAGTGAAGGGTTTCACTGTATAGCAGGATAAGAATCACCCCGCTAATTCTTCCAATTATCGATTATCCGTTCCTTTCAACCTGGAGAAGCATAAAAAAAATCGACGGTCAGTTTTTTTGAAGTGTTTGTCAATACAAGATTTTGTGCCTTATGTAAGAATGTGTAGTTTTGAATCATTCATAAATGTGTTTTTATCTAAATTGCCACATTGAATCAAATGCAACAGATTATGTAAGAATGGTATTATGATTTACACAAGTCGTTAATAACCCACTGATAAAAATAAAGCTCTTTCATGAAGCTATATCTCAGTTCATAATGGATATTTATGATTTTGAATACTTAATTATGCATGCTCATTTTAACTATTTTTACATTTCAATTACCTGTGCTGTCATCTACCACATTTAATCTTTAAGATCACAATTTTACAATCACAAACAGCATTTTAACACTGATAAATGTAATCTTTAGCAAATTTCAAAAAGAATATTATTTTTAATACTGTAAATTTAAAGTTGATTTATACAATTTAAAAACCAATTTTTAAGGGAAAAAACACAGTTCTCAACTCATCGCTATTGGCACGAATTTTAATATCTGTGCATCCTAAAAATACAATATTTATTATTAAAGAACCTATTTATTAAGAATATATTGATTAAACAATATAGTCCATAAACGCATATAAATAATAAACAGTACATACAAGCAGTTCATTTTAACTACTTAGTTTATTAATTGTGTCAAATTACTATGTCCTGGAAGAGTGACAAAGAGTAAAAAGGAATTGAACAGGAATACAATGATTGCTAAGCATCTGTATGTATGTATTAATACCTGTATGAGATGGGCAGGAGGAGGTTGTTCTTCTTCAGAGCTTGCACTTTGCTGAGAGTCTGGGGGTCGAGGGCGATATAACAGCGTCGGGCGTAGTCCAGAAGCTTTTCTTTAGACGGGTCAAACTCACCCACCTCAGCCACCTTCTCTGGAGCCACCAGCAGAAGCTCAGCAATGGGTGTGGTAGAGGCCACCGTATTACGATCTACACCGTGGATCTGGAAGGCCTTGGACATGTTCTTCAACCTCTGGTATGTTACCAGGATCTTTTTATAGCGGAACAGCACACCTGCTGCATCTTTCACTAGAACAACAGCAATAAGGAGAGAAAGATGAAGAAAGAGATCAGAAACAGAAGAAAATCACTTGTTTGTCATGTTTCCTCACACTGTCACGCTCACCTCTCTGTCTTTCTCTCCCTCTGGCGATTCGGAAAACCCTTCTTCTCTTCAGAGCTGGATGACTGCCGGTGGGTCTTCCAGCTGAGCCAATGTTCCGAAGTGACATGTTATCTGTCATCACATCCTCTCTTGACATCATTTCCTCTTCCTCTAGGTAGCTATCCTCAAGGTAGTCATCCTCTTCTTCATCTCCCAGAAGAGAGAGGGATTCTGTGGAAGCAGAAAAAAATAAAAAACAAAAGATTTCTATTCAAATGCTGTTCTTTTGAATTTGATTCATCAAAGAATCATGCAAAAATGTATTGCGGTTTCCACAAAAACATTAAGACGGCAATAACAAAAAAATTGTAAATAACATTTTAATCATATTTTAGAAAAATATTAAACTCATGGAAACATACATGGAAGTATGGTAAATATATAGTCACTCAAAAAAGTTTTTGAAGTTAGCTTCTTAGATAAACTGTAAATATGCTTATTGTAGACATACAGTAAATATTTAAACCAAAATGACAATGTAGCACAAATACAGGTTAAAAAAACATTTGAGACCCACCTTGCAGTTCACTGAGGGACCT